ATGAAATATTGCACTAACATGAAATGTTTCCATTTTAAAGTCCACCCCCCAAAGGACGGTTTTATCTTAATTGCTATGGACTCTTCAACACTCTTGGAAATAATGGACCTAGAATAAAATATATGGGAAATATATATGGAAAGTTTATCGAATTATTTGTAAATTTATTACATAACAATTATTGCATATTCTCAGATAATTAAAATATTGCGATCAGCTTCTGCATTATCTGTATTAAGTATGCATTATCTGTACATATCAGGAAAGACCTTATAAGCTTTGGTGCTGGGCCTTAAAATTAGTTGTACAAGATTTGCAGGGCTTTTCGCCTAACATGTGATGTGGTACGTGTTGACTTGAAAGAAATGAATGGTAATTCAATTTAGGTAGTTAGATAGTCGGGTAACTATTTTAAAATATATTCAATGAACCTTTACATATGTGATCTGCCTCTTATGGTCACTTGTAAGAATGAAGATTTAGCCTTACTCTCCCATCAAGAAGTTCTCTCATTACTGACTACCATGTGGGGCTAATAAACTACAGAAGAACATCATCGGACCCGATATGCTGTCGCCTGGCCATCCCAGCCAATGAATTGTGTGCCCTATATACTACCTGTTTCAGTGGGCCTATTATATTATCTAGAAGACATTAGTCTCAGGAGTTATCAACTAAATAATTATTATAATGATACAATAGATCAATTACTAAATTAAACAAGTGTCAAACTGACCGTTGACCTGATTAATTTTACGCATATTTTATTGCAGGTATGGAAAACACACGTCCAGGTTATGTATCATACACTCGTGTACTACAACACCTTTTTGGCATGATGGTGCGTAACTTAAAAGTCATTTTTCGCTTAACCTAATTTAAAAAGTACAAGAAATACACTGTAAAAAGAATCGTAGATATAATCAACATTCATTTTTACAACAAGTGGATCTAGACTTATTACGTTCTCACAAAAGGTTCAAACTGCTAGAAAATTATAACACTGTAAGTAGTAGAAAAATTTCGTTACGTAATTTTACATAATTTTATTTTACTCCACAATGGGTGTACATCTCCTGATCAACTGATCGATGATTTTTTTTGTAAAATGCGGATTACCATAAATTCGAAGCAATAACATGTATAACCGTATACCTACATACATTCGAAATGTAATATAATCTACCCAGTACTATTGCTAAGTGAATTATTATTGAACGTGAAATATCTACCTTCACGAGGAGTACGGGCAAAGCGATGAACAATGGATAACTTTCTGATTTGTTTTTCTGGTACGATGCGAAAGAAAAGCCTTCAGGCACCCCCAGCCCCCCCCCCC